GGTACCTCTGCTAAGGTATGAAGTGCTCCTTACAGCCTGGCTTCACAGGTGATGCCAGCCTCTGCACACTGCTCCCATTTCCAGATGCACCACACATGTGTCAGCCCCTCTCACCCTCACCTCAGCCTACAGGGCAACTTTTAGAGGTTCCTATAATGAAGTTGCTGAAACTCAGGGCTTACATGTGGCTGGGACGAGGGCCCACAGGAACGGAGTGACTCGGTACTAGAGGAGGCTGCTCTTATTTAAATGCTGGCAATTTGCTGGTGGCATGCATGCAGTTGGTTTTTTTTAAATGCTGCATTGAAATATTATCCGGGCTGGAGGCGTGGTTGCGCATTTGCTGCACAAGGACATGGACATGAGTTTGGAGCTCAGCATTCACGTAGCAAGCTCAGCACCCTGTACTTGCCTACAAGAGTGGGTAGTGGAGCCAGAGGGTCACTAGGAGTTACTGCATTCTAGACTAGCTGGGAGAACTCAAGCCCTAGGGGCAGGGAGAGACATCACCTAGAAGTCACAGAGGCAGTGATGGAGAAGTGATGGAGACGGACACCTGACACACTCCTCTGGCCTCCAATCACAAGTACGCAGGTGTGCATCTAGCCTCACAACAGACAGGCACGCGCACACACAAATGAGCAAATAAATCTTGGTAAGAATGCTACTCATCTCCAAAGTCCCTCACAGAAGGGGAAAGGGACAAGATCTCCTGAGCATATTGGGAGTTGGGAGGGGGGGGAGGCAGTGAGTGGAGAGGGGGTTAGGAGAAAGAGAAGGGGAGGAGAGGAAAGCATGTGGGACCAGGAAGATTGAGTCAGGGGAGGAATAAGAGAGAGATAGAGATAGATAGACAGACAGACAGACAGACAGACAGACAGATAGACCATAAAGAGGGAGCCATTATAGGTTTGAAGAGAAAATTGACTCTAGAGAAATGTCCAGAGACCTACAAGACTGACCCCAACTAACGACTTGAGCAACAATGGAAAGGCTATCATAAATGCCCTTCCCTGATTTGATGACTAACTTATCTACTGTCATAGAGCCCTCATCTAGTAGCTGATGCAAACAGAAGCAGACACCCACAGCTAAACACTGAGCCTAACTGGAATCCAGATGCAGAGAGGGACTAGGCTACAGAAACCCACAGAGACTTCTGACCTGAACAAGGAGGAGCTAATGGGCCTCCAGACTGATAGCTGGGAATCCAGCATTGGATAGACTCAGACCCCCTGAACATGAGTCTCAGTTAGAAGGCCTGAGCAGCCTAAGGGACCTCCTATAGTGAAACCAGGATGTATCCCTGGTGCACAAAAGGACTTTGGGAGCACATTCCCCAAGGAGGGATACTGCCTCAACCTAGAGGCAGGAGGGAGGGCCTAGACCCTACTCCAAATGACTTGGCAGATTTAGATGACCCCTCCTGGAAGGATCAACCTACATGTGGAGTGGGGGGATGGGATGGGAGGGTGGTCAGGGGCATGGAAGGGTGGGAGAGAAGGAGGGAGAGAGAACTGGGATCCATATAGAAAATAAGAAAAATTTAAAAAAAGAATTCTATTCATCTTAGAGTTGGGGAGATAGTTTGGTTAATAAGCATTTGTAGAGCCCACTTCGTCCCCCCCCACACACCAAATCAGGTATGTGGCATGTGCTTGCAATCCCAGTACTGAGGAGGTAGGCATAGTTGTCTCTCTGGGGCTCGCTGGCCAGCCAGCCTAAGCCTACTTTGCAACTTGGAGGCCAGAGAAGATCCTGTCTTGCAGGATAGTACCTGAGGAAAGGCAGTCAAGGTTGTCCTCTGGCACACACACACACACACACACACACACACACACACACGTGCACGCGGAGACACACACACAATCATATAGTGCCCAGTCACTAGGAGTGTAAAGGGACATATGTGAATGTCATAGTGGATCCCATCAACTAAGGAATCCACACAGGACAGAGGTGCTGGCACCCCCGTTTCCCCGCTATATGGGAAACATGTTAGTAGTCAGGCATTTCTACTGGCCTGCCTTTACAGTTCTGACAGGACACGCCCTCAGCTGCAGCCACTAAGAGCACCACCTGTGCACATTCACTATGCTCCCTTTTAAAGGACCCTGCCCACCTCCCATACCTCTCTCTTCCTCTCTCCCTCTCTCTCTCTCTCTCTCTCTCTCTCTCTCTCTCTCTCAAACCCTCTGAGATTCTGCTCAGTGGAATTCAACTTCCTGCAGTTAGGTCTGCCCTAGAAAGTGAAGGGGAACTAGGGCTTAAGGCTCAAGGTGGAGAACTGGCATGTCTGGTCTCACAAAACCCCTTCCTGGGACCCTCAGATACAGACTCCTGGCTTAAACAGGCTGGAGAAGCAAATTCCCAGGCAGCTTACATGTTGTGGGTGGCAAGTCCTGTCTCCATAACAAATCTTGCTAAAGTACTCAGGAAGTTACAGCTTTGTGCCAGGCTCAGAGAAGTTAAGCAGGTCAATGAACTTGCACAACGAGTTTATGAGAGAGCTGTTGTTCAGATCTAGTTTTGTTTTATGTGGGTTATACGTATATTTGTGTTGTGCACACACGTATGCAATCGTGTGTGGGGGGGTGCGACTTTCAGGAGTCAGTTCCCTCCGTCCACCATGTGTATGCTGGGGACTGAATTCAGGCCATCAGGCTTGGCCGCAAGTGCCTTTTACCTGCAAAGCTGTCTTGTCTGCCCTTTCTACTTTATTTTTGAGTCAGAGTCTCTCATCAAACCTCAGCTCACCGAGTAGGCTAAGCTAGCTTGCCTGAAAGTCCCAATCTCCACATGCCAGATATGCGATTGCAGCCACACCACCATGCCTAGCTTTCTACATGGGCTCTGGGGATCTGCTTGTGCATGAGAACACTTCACCTAAGTTCCCTTCACCCTCAGCCATTGCCCTGGTTAGGAGTCTTGGCTCTGCCTGGTTCTATAACCACAGCCAACATAGGGACACTTGACATTCTTTCTGTGACCCCTCGAGGCACGGGTTCGGTAGTTTATAGAGCATTCTGCAGTGAGCCACATCTGTGCTGCTAAAAGGACAGCACTGAGCAGGGAGGTTTGGGCAGTTCAGGGGCAGGCCTCTTTGCTTTGGGATTTCCCGTTCTGGGGAGGCCCCAACCCCTGATACCCATTCCTATAGCCCCAGGCTTGTGGTTGGAGCTGCCAGCTAGCTGCCTCTGAGTGATCCAGTATTCTCCTTTAACTCTTTCTGTCCCAACTTTCTTAATGTACATGGGTATCCATGTGTGTTCAGAGGCCAGAGGACAGCCTCGTTCATTATCCCTCCCTGTCCATCCATCTTCTTCTTTGATACCGGCTCTCTACATGGCTCACCAAGTGGGCCAGGCTGCCTGGCTAATGAGGGTCAGGGATCCACCTGTCTCTGTCTCTCAGCACTGGGATTTAAGGGCAGACCACCATACCCAGTCTTTTTTATGTGGGTTCTGGGGATTAAACGAAGGTCCTGACATTTGCAAGGTAGTGTAGAACAACATACTCTGAGCAAAGGAGCCAGGACTTTTATCAGATCAGCTAGTCCTACTTGCACGAGACCCTCCTTATTGCCCAGCCCTGAACTCATGTGATTGTATTCAGTAATACAAGTTATCAGTGTCTCCCTTATTATGCAAATGTGGAAGGAGAGGTAAGTACAGCTTGAGTGACTTTTCCACCATCCCACAGCTGCTGTGAGGACCCGGTAGGATTTGCAGCAAACACCGTACCTTCCCTCCATCTGCATCTTAATTATTGTGACCTGCCACAGATTCAACAGCTGGAGAGAAATGAGCTTAGGCCTTACTGAGCTGCAGTGAATGTACATGCACACACACACACACACACACACACACACACACACACTCAGAGTATACAGGAAAGCATATACATACATGGGCACACATGTATGTGTACACACATGTACACATGCACACACATGTGAACACACACAGAGTTCACAGAGAAGCATGCATGTACATGTATACACACAAATGTGCACACACACACGAGTGTGGTGTGGAAAGCTTGGGCAGAAACCTTGCTGGTGTGCTATAGAAAGACACCTCCCAGGTGATTGTAAAAGTGTTTTAAGTTTGTGTGTGTATGTGCATGTGTACATGTGTGTGATGGTGTGCATACACGTGGGTGGAGGTCAGAGGATGGTTTGTGGCAATCACTTCTTCCTTCTCACCATGTAGATCCTGAGAAACAAATTCAAGTTGGCAGGTTTGGTTACAAAGGCCTTTACCTGCTGAGCCACCTCTCTGGCCTCTACCTTACTGTTCCTCTCTCTCTCTCTCTCTCTCTCTCTCTCTCTCTCTCTCTCTCTCTCTCATTGAATCTGGAGCTCAGGGATACCTGTCTCTATCTTGCCATCTCTAGGCTAACAGAGATTGCAACCACACCTGGTTTTTATTGTTGTTTTTGTTTTTAGTAGCTTCTGGTGATCTGAATCCATGTCTCCATACTTGCCCAGCAGGCATTTTAATCTTCGCAGCCAACTTCCTAAACTTTACTATAAAGCACTTGGGGACATTATTAAACTATAGGTTTGGATTCGGTCTGTGTCCCAAACCGTGCTCCGATCCAGGGCCCCACTGTGTCTAAGGATGAACTCAACCTGAAGTCGGTCAGAGAAGGATTTCAGTGTGAACTGCAGAATTCTGGGATAGCTAGCTGGGTCTGTGTGAATACAGGATTAAGAAGGCAGAAAGAAGGAAGGAAGGAAGAGAAAAGGCCCATTTAGGTGTCACCTAGGGTCCTGAGGACAAGAAGGGTCTTCCCCAGATCTCTTCAATTCCCCTCAACAGGCAGCTTCCCCGCATAATAACTCCACATGCAAACAGCCTGATTTTTCAGCAAAAACCAACTGTACACTAAGGAACAGCCTAGTTCTATAGTCAGGAAACATTGTGCAAATTGAAGAATCATTGCCAAAGGGAAGTCGTGCGGGTCTCCAGCTAGCTGCTGCAGTTAAATGGGAGCCCTGCTTCCTCTTGGGGAAACATTTCTGCTGGCTCCAGGGCTTTGCACACCTATAAAACTTAGCAATGGGAAATAAAGAAATTCTCAAGGAGGAAGCCTTCTTGGCGAGCGCAGAAGAAGGAGCTGATTTTGACCAAGCCATGTTCCCTGTGATGGAGACCTTTGAAATCAATGGTAAAGTACAATCCCCTGTTAATGCGATTGCACAGAAACTTAGTCTCTGGTGGTGGGACGCAAGTAGAGACAAGACCATAGGAGGGCAGGCTTGTGCCCAGGTGCATTTCACACCTGACTCTCACTAGCTACACTGCATCATTCTGGAATTCCTGGACCGACCGCTGACCACAGGTGCTGTGTCCTTGGTGTATAGCCGATTTTTACTTAAAGCCTGGTGCTTCTTAAATTTCATAAGTCAAGTGTTTTCTTCTCTTGTATCAATGCCAGTGCTTGTTAAGGAAATGCCCCTTCTTTAATGCACATCCCATGAGATGATGCTACAAGTCAAAGGATGTGAAGAAGTCCAGTGGGATCTGAGATGCTGCTCAGACAGTAGAGGGCTGACCTGGCATATACGAGGCCCTGGGTTCGATCCAGAGCGTGGCATAAATGGGTGATGCATGCCTATGACCTCAGCTCAGAGGAGGTGGAGGCAGAAGGGTAGGAGTTCAAAGCCGTCTTCAGCTGTGCAGTTTGGGCCTAACATGGACTGTATGAAGCTCTGTTTCAAAAAGAAAATCCACAGAGCTGGAACAAAGCTGTATATATATTTGGACCGGCATTCTTTAGTATGCCTCAAGGGGCTTCTGTGATAGTGGAGGTGTTGACCAGGGAGAACATTCTTCATTTTTCCCTAGCTTTCTCACTGGTTTGACTTAGATGGAACACAACTTTCAAATATTAAAAAAAAATATATCAGTGTGTGTGTGTGTGTGTGTGTGTGTGTGTGTGTGTGTGTGTGCGCGCGTGCACGCGCGCGCACGTTTGTATGTGCCAAGGTGCGGAAGCCAGAGAACAATTTTAGGAGTCAGTCCTCTCTTTCTCGCTTTCCTCCTGCCCCGTGGGATTCTGGGATAGAACTCAGCGGTCCGTCTTGGTGGCGAGCCTTTGCCTGCTTTGTCATTATCCTCTGAAGATGTTTTAATTGGCCGCTCTGTCATATAGGTGACATCTTCAGGAACTCGTAGCACTGAAAGTCTTCCACGGTGATCAGTTAAAGGGGGTTGTGAGCCACCTGGTATGGGTGCTGGGACCCGAACTCAGGTCCTCTGATAGTGCAGCAAGTGCTGTTAGCCACTGAGCCTTCTCTGCAGCCTCTATGCGTGGCTTTTTAAACATGGGTTGTGAGGATAAAGCCCAGACCCTCATGCTTGCATGGCAAGCACTGCACTGACTGACCTTAAATCCCCACTCACTCTCCGGAATCCTTTTAAAGATACGCTGTTCTAGAAAATTCAGCTGACCATTGCATTCAGCACCTACTACCTTCTGGATACCACACTGGGCACAAAGAACAGATACTTGATAAATAGGGCTGCTGGTCTTCAAGAGAACACACTAAGGTGGGGAGGGCAATCCCTGCCTCGCCTGACCTTCCTGAACAACACTGGCTGGGACTGAAAACTTCACAGGACATCATGGATATAACCTGGGGTGGGCCCTGAGGTCAAAGCTTATGTCTCACACACACACACACACACACACACACACACAGAGAGAGAGAGAGAAAGCGAGAGAGAGAGAGAGAGAGAGAGAGAGAGAGAGAGAGAGAGAGAGAGAGAAAAGCAGTAGCAGTAGCAGCAGCAACAGACAGATGGGAATTCTGGAGCCCAACAAAAATGGTTCCCAGGGCTGGGGTGACACCTCAGCTTGCTTCACCATCATGAGGACTGGGGTTCAAATCCCTGCCTTCACACAGGTGGTAATGAAAATGCTATAATCTTGGCTCTGATAAGGAGCAGAGCGAGGGGGAAAATTGGGGGTTGCTAGCTTCCAGACTAATCAAGAAAACCCAAGCTTCAGGCTTCTGCCTAAAGGAACAGGCAGAGAATGCTGGAGGAGGGCATCTGATGTCATCTTTTGATGAGAGTATCACAAACACACACACACACACACACACACAGACAGACACACACACCCTCACACAGACACACACACACACCCTCACATAGACACACAGACAGACAGACAGACACACACATACACACACCCTCACACAGACACACACACACAGACAGACAGACACACACATACACACACACCCTCTCACACACACAGACAGATACACACACACACACAGACATATGCACACCCTCATATAGACACACACTCCAGACACACACACACAGACATATACACACCCTCACAAACACACACAGACACACACACCCTCACATAGACACACCCACACACACCCTCACACAGACACACACACACACACCACACACACACGTTCCCTTCCTCCCTTCCATCATTTGCTTTGACCCTATTTTCTCTTATATGAGGCTCACAATTCTAGGAACTGTACTGAGCATGGCGAAACCATGTAAAATCCACACGCAAGGAGTTCTGTTGTTAGTCTACAAAGTTCCCAGGCTATTATTATCTCTCTTGTGCCATCTCAGAAGGCAGAATGGAGTTAGTTGATGATGGTTGTGCAAACCAGTTACAAATAAGGAGGGAAGCAAAAAGTCCTGATGCGGAGTTTGAAGAGCTCTGGGTGGAGAGAGCTGAAGTCACTGCATTTCTGTGTGTTCCATTCTGAGACGAGATTTCAGAGTCAATCCCCCAGGACAAGGAAGCATTCAGCTACAAGTCAGCACTTGCTGGGGCAGGCTGGACTAGATGCTGACTCAGATTCTTCACTGCGACCCTAGTCATCATGTGATGTCATGGTTTGCAGAAGAAGAAAAATCAATCTGTCATCTATCTATCTATCTATTTATCTATCTATCTATGTATCTATCTATCGCCTGTCTCCATCCATGCATCCTTAGAAGCTGAGGTGATTGCTCATGTCCTGGAGGCCTGCTTCCCAAGCATGAAAAGCTGAGTTCCCTCCTAGAACTCATGTTAAAAAAAAAAAAAAAAAAAAAAAAGCCAGGGGTGGTGATGTGCACAGGTAATCCCAGTGCTGGGGGTGGACACCGGCAGAACCCTGAGGTCACTAGGCTGGAGGGATGCGCTGAGGTTGAGTGCACTGGTCTGCAACTCAGGTTGCTCACTGTGGTGGGTGGGAGACAGGTGGAGAGCCAGGGTGCTTGGCAGCAAGAGATGACCAAGGCAGTAGCTGTAAAGGAGTAAAACAAGGATGATGGAGATGGCTCAACAGGTTAAGGGTCTGGTACTCAAGAATGAGGACCTGAGTTCAAATCTCCAGTGGCCACGGGAAAACTGGGCAGGATTAGGGTTGTACAGTCTGTACCCAGTACTGGGGGTAGGTGGGAACAAGAGGGTCCCTGAAGCTCCCTGGTCAGCTAGCCTAGCCAACTGCTGAGCTTTGGGTTAAATGAGAGATCTTGTCTCAGAAAATCAGGTGAGGATCAGTTGAGGAAGACACTGGATGTCAACTCCTGCCTCCACTTACATTTGCACACATGTGTATACACACTTACATTTGCACACATGTGTACGCACACATCCCACAAACAGGAACGCAGACAAAACAAGGACACACATACACACAGAGAGAATGAGCAATTGAGTGTGTGTGTGTGTGTGTGTGTGTGTGAGAGAGAGAGAGAGAGAGAGAGAGAGAGAGAGAGAGAGAGAGAGAGAGAGAGGGAGGAGCATGGGAGTCTGGTGTAAAGTTAGTACTGTGCAAGTGAGGACCTGAGTTCAGATTTCTAGAATTCACCTAAAGCCAGGCAGGTATGGTAGCCCCTGTGTATGATCCCAGTGTTCCTGTGGCATGCTGGGAAGTGGTACAAGCAAATGTTTGGTTGTTCCCTAACCTCTCTATGTGTCAAGTGCATGCCCATACACTCATTCATACACACACACACACACACACACACACACACACACACACACACACACCACACTAAAACAGAGAATGTCCTGAGCAAAGATTCGATGTCAGATTAATAGGGTAAGCAGCAAGGACAAACTCTAGACTTGAGACTCAGATTATAACTATGCTTCACAGAAAAAAATGTGAGCCCTAAGCCAAGATCAAACCTCAACAAAATCCTGAAAAACTTCAGGGGATGGAACACTTTCCCCCCAGTGCCATCACAACTCCCTACTTTCTAGTATGAGGATCAGGGATCTATGGAACCTTCTAGAAAAGTGCCATTGTGGCCAGTGATTGCTGAGAGATTTGGCAAGTGTGGAGACCTCTCAGTTTCCTGTGATAACTGAAATGGCTTTGATGCTCAGTAATGCATGGCTCCAAGTTGCTTTGATTTTCTTCTGGAAAAAAAACCTGCAAAAACAAATATGGTTTTTGCTATGGTTTCCAAACAACAAATCACTGAAAATCATTTGTAGTGTGTTGTCAACCTCCTCCCTTCCTCCTCCTTTTTACATAGCATCTCTGTCGTCTAGATTGACTTGGAACTCCCTAGGATGACCTCAAATTCTCATCTTCCTGCCTCCATCTCCCAAGTACTGGGATTACCAACCAGCATCCCCAGAACTAGTGTATGTGGTGCTCGGAACGGAGCCCAGGGATGGCCTGTGCCTGCCCGGCAGGCACTTTACTGCCTGAGCTATACTCTAGTCTCCTCATGCGTTAATTCCTATTGCTGCCCGTCATGAAATAGAATCTGCCACTGTCTTCAGCTTGATAATGTTAACGTTTTCCTTTTTGAGACAGGGCCCTCAGATTCATGACCCTCACACTTTAGCCTCCGGAGTACTAGGTTTATAAGCCTGAGTCGATTCAACAGCTTTTGTTAATTATTTTAGCTACTCAGCAATACTATGGGGTGTTCTGACTGTATACTCCTGAAACGTCCAGATGTGAACCTCACAGACTTTTGAAATATTCCTTCCCTTGACAGCATCTCTCTGTCATTCTATTTGTCTTTCTCCATTCTCACAGATGTGTCTTGATAATCTCATTGTAGTTTGAGTTTGAAACATATGCATTTTCCTATCACTTTAATTAAAAAATGATGTTTTGATTTTCATAGAAAAAGGAAAATCTTCTTTTGCCTTCCTCTCTCTGGCCC